CCCTCTTTCGCATGCAGGCGCCCCTCTTCCGCGTGGCGCGCTTCTCGAGTGGCTGCGCCCTCCTAGCCTTTATCGCCTGGCAAGATTATATTCCGACAGGGTCCGCACTCGGCAGCATCTGCCTTTGTTTCAGATAAGGATGCCCTTCACTCTTCAGCATATCAAAAGATACTTTTCCCACGTCATTGCCACCCTCTTCGTGTCACAAGTGCCTTTATCAGTTGCGGTGTCGCACTGCTCAGCTTTATGGCTGCCGCACCTCTTAACTTCCTGCCTCCTCTACAGATTTTCGAGGCGCCCCTTTCCAAAGCTTTAGGGTGCAGCTGCCCCCCTTGCCCCCCTGCTTCCGCCGCCACTGGGTAGGCGGCATTCTGAAGCCAACGTCGAAAATCACGAAGAAATTATTTCAGTCATGTTTCAGAATTCAGGTCAATTGAAGGTTGAACTCTTTGCACGAGAAGCTGATCGACGCATCCCGAAAGCAAATGCTCAGAGGGCAGGGTAATGACGGTGTCCCAGACTCCCATGCCATCAAGCTCCTCCACGACGACTCCCAGAGCAGCAACCAGTCTCCGATCTCGAACCTGTTCGGGGGCCAGTACAAGTCCACGCTGCGCTTCGTCAGCGGCGGGAACCACTCGGCGAAGTTAGAGGCATTTTCACACCTCTCCGTGCCTATGCCTGCCAGCGCCAGTCAGTGCTCGCTCCACGAGTGCATCCAGCTTTTTGTGGAGGGCGACACAATCAGCGGCTGGACTTGCCCGGAGGTCAAAGCAGCGACGGGGCCACCAAGCGGCTTGACATCTGGCGTCTTCCACCAGTACTGATGATCCACATACAGCGCTTCTTCAGCGACGACAGCGCGTTGAAGAAGAATCAGTCCAGTGTCCTGTGTCCGCTAAAAAACCTGGACATGTCACCGCACTTGGCTACCAAGGATGCGCACCAACAGCACCACAGGTATCACCTGTACGGTTTGGTCAACCATTTCGGTTCCATGGACAGTGGCCACTACACAGCCTTCTGCCGCGCACCCACCACGGACAGATGGCACAAGTACGACGACCGTCAGGTGCACGAACTGAGCGGGGGGAGCGTGCGAAGCTCGGCCGGATACTTGTTGTTTTACTTGGCCATCTACCAGCGGCTATAGGCTCTGCCACTTCCGCCCGTAGCCGAGCGAACGTTTAGTTCGTCCTCCATTCTTGAGGGCACTGTGAGTTTGTAACGTGACTGCAATGATTGTGTTACGAAAATATATTTATCCTCATGAAGCTGGAAAAAATTGAAAGTTCATATCACCAGAGTCCATCAAAAGTTAACTTTCGTTTATTTCGACTTTTTCGGCCATCCCCCTCCCCCACCATGGCGAAGTTTGCCCTCGAGGATCTCAGGGCGAATATAAGACACACGGGGGCCACGTGGGCCTCCGAAGCCTGCGCGTCATGCCTGGGGTCTTCAGAGGTCAACGACATGGAGCTCTTACGGGAATGGCGCGAAAACAGCGTGGATCCTCAGTGACCAGCATGGCTCCTACCGGTCTGTCAGGAGCCAGTAGAGGTCATCAGAAGTAGTTTCGACAATTACTTTTGATGGAGACATGCTAGAGGGATTAAAGAACCTGAATGCATTCAGCTCAACAATACACCTCGACTTTTGTGCAGCATGACCTTGACCTAAGGTCAAATTATTGACCATTCAACGTGTCTCGGCAAGAGAAACATAATGGTAGTGAAAGCAAAATCTTCCGAAGGCATCACTGACGGAGGAGCGGGAGCAGGCGTAGTAATCGAGAGGCCGGACGGCGAGGTGACGGAGCTCCGCGTCGCCGCCGGCCGCCTCTTCTCCAGTTACAGAGCGGAGATGATCGCGCTCCAAGCAGCTCCCGACTACTCAACAGACGACCCCGCACACGAGCAGGACCCCATCATCTTCTGCGCCGACTCCATGGCGGCACTCGCGCGCCTCCGTGAGGGACCGGTGGCGCATTCGCCGTCGGCGTGCATCAGAGCTGTGTCGGTCACATGGGCAGAGGCCGTCAACTATCCGCACCGGGTGCCAGGACAAGATGTGTACGGCAGCGTGTGCAGGCCTCTGCCGAGAGGAGCCGGTATCGCCAAAGGCTGCTGTTTGCGGCTTCCGGTCCCATGTTTGTGTCATACGTCTGGTCCAGCCCCGACTCTGAACCTCGTGGATCGTGTCCGCCCGCGACGGCGGCTGGCCGACAACTGGCGTCCGCCGCCGACCGGCACACAGCGAGCGGGCCACGCGCCACCAGCGGAACAGCGCGGATCGGTGGCGCAGTGGCGGCGCCAGGCACACCGAACAAGGGGGCAGCGACTCCAGCCGATCCATCGGGAAACAGTGATACTTGGGAGCAGTTTTGCTCAGTGTGCCGTTCAATGTTTGTTTAATTTTTAAAATGAGCAAACAATCAACATGATTAGTTAAACGCCGTCGATGGGGAGGACCGATAAAGGGATAGCTTGCCAGGTCTACTCCTCTACCAAGTAGCCGTCACTAGAAACTGTAGCTGCCATAGTGATAACAGGTGGCGCTTATGCAACAGGACAAAATGTGATCAGGTTTTTATGGATGAACGCTTTAAAAAATAACTTTTCATGGTCGCAAGTAGCACAATGGTGAGAGTCAATACAAAGCATAATTGAAAACAGGTCTAAACAGCCAATATATTTTCAGAATCACATGTTAGGTGCGACGAAAAGTCGTAACTGACAACACAGTCCACTCAAAGCATGCATATAGGTGCGAAAATCGGCGGCGAAACCAAGACCTTACTTCTACAGGATCATTTCTATAGGTCTTATCGCGATCTTTCACTCGAATTTTCGCGTGTCTCAAACCACGATGAGGAGTTGTGGTGGACTCTCTTGAGCGGGAAGCGGATCATAAGTTGCCCTTTTGGGTGACTTATAATCATTGAAGACCGTTCCGTCACTTGCCTTGGTAAGTGACGGGGGAGAGTTCACGTTCTGAGTGGTTTGACTCATTGTCATTTGAATGATGCGAGATGGTGGGAAGTTTGCGTACCTAGACTTCTTACATCATATGTCGGGAGGTGATCTTGAATTGGAAATACGATAAACTATCTGAACATTTAACCCGAACCGAATGTGTCTTTCGATAAATTCCTTCGACATTTTGTGGTAGACTAGCGCCTTATGTCGGAAAACCCAATTTTGAGTTGTTCCTGGCCTGCCGGCAGATTCAGGTCAGGACGCTTTGGAACTTGATTGATGCTTATCGTGAAATCAAGCAACGTTTTCTGACTCTCATTGGTGTCTTGCCGTCTCGCTACCTCATTTTTCTTTCTTTCAGGAAGACGCCGGAAGGATGCTGAGTGAGCGTGCAGAGACGCGACTCAGCTGCTCCCGAGTCATGCTAAGTGAGAGCAGAGTGACTCGGCTGCTCCCGAGTCACATACTGAGTGAGCGTACAGGGACGCGACTCGGCTGTTCCTAGTCACCACGTCACCAGTCACCGTGTCTGGGCGACTATGAGCGGCACTACCCGAAGCCGAGCCCGGAACACCGCTGTCCAGCCCTCAGGTGACCAAACAGGGACACACTGAGGAGCAGAGGTCCGCCGGAAACTATAACAACAGCTACCGAAAACGGCTCCTTCTCCGGACCGGAGTGACGGGGCTGCCCCCGCCCAGGGGCACCTGAAACCCCGTCTCCACGCACGGCCATGGCCCCAGCGCGGATCCCGATAGGCGGCGGAGCGGCGCTGGCACCTGGGACTCGACTGGCGCAGACCGGAGCAGCGACTCCGGGCGCCGCACCCGCCGCCCGGCCGGTCGTCGGCCGACTGCCGTGCCTCTGCCACGGGACGCGCCGCCGCGTCCCTGTGGGCAGGGGCGACGCCAGGCACGGCGCCGGAGGAACCGCTAGCACCGGCGGAGCATCTGATACCGTGGAACCGTGGCTTAAAGGATGTTTTACGAGCAAGGCCGTCAACAAGAAAACTCTGGTTCCAACGCCACCCGGAAGAAATTTGGAAAATTAAACCGTTAACATGTTCGTTCATAAGGCAGTTTGCAGCACTCATAGTCATGTCCCAGAATGCAGATCCAGAGTGGTGGAAACAGGCCGTTTGACAAAGGTTATCGAACACACTTATTTTGGTCACATTTGGTACGACTTCATTTGGACACATTTGGTACGATTACTGAGGGACATTGGGTGAGGGTGGGGGCGGTAACTAATGGCGGGGACAGACAGTGATAACTGAGGGAGATTGGACAGGACAGGGAGTGATTACTCACTGAAAGCATTTTTACACTCACATCGCCGTATTAACACCACCTAAAGGTGTAAATAGCAGACTGAGCACTATACGCAGGTCTATAACACGGCAATTACGCTTAGAAACTGATCAAAGCGAAATTACACCTCGTTAGTGTGCAAATCACACTCAAACAACACCTTATGGAAGTGCAATTCTGACCTTTAACACCTATAGCTTTTGTTCATTTACGAATAACACCTTCCTGTAGTGTAGATGATCGCGCTTCATGTGTGCTGTGTTATTGACAAAGGATCCTTGATCTGCGATTGCCGCATTTTTGTCTTGGCTCAACACTGCTCTGAAGTATAATCTCGCCTTCTCGTACGAGAGGAAATGGGTGCAAACTAGTAAAGAAATTTTCCAGAACCAAGTTAAGACAGTCCTTTTTTACCAGTAGGGTCATAGAAGCTTGGAACGGTTTACCTCCTAGAGTTATCAATAGTTCCTCCTTAAGTAATTTTAAAAATGAGTTAGACTTGTATCATAAACAGCGTGGGCTAGTGTTCGATGAAATGGTGTAATTGTACCGTGTTTTACATACAGTGTTTGTTCATCTACCTGTAACCTCGTTGGGCCCAAGTGGCCTGCTGTTACATGGAATACATGTTATGTTATGTTTAAGTGTAATGTACCGGACGGCAAAGGCGCATGCGCGTGACGCCGCTCGCACCCACGCGGCTTTCAGTGCGCCATTCTGCTTCAACGAACGTGGTTGTTAGTGTGCTGAGCTGGTGTGACTATTGAGCATTGAGGAAGACCCACCTGCTCCGGAACGGGTAAGTAGATGACAGCATTTTCGAGATTATACTTTTTCTCGAAAAATTAGGACGTGCGTGATTTCCAAAGCTAATTTGTGATGCAGGGATGGGTAAAATGAGGCGCGCCGTGGTGCTGGCTCTGCTCTGCTTCTCTTGATGATATTTATGGCACTAGGATTATTGGTTTTTGCTTCATCCTTGTTTAATACTAGAACTTCGTGAAATTTTTACGTTTGGATACCTCCAGTGACCTCAGTAATGACCTGATCAAAAAATGACCTGAATGATTCTGAACGATCTATAACGAGCTATATGTTGCTTTTGTCTGCGTCTTAGCTATACTTTCTTAGATAACCTGGTGTGCCCCCCTCCCCCCATGGCGAAGTTGGCTGAGAGGCCCACCCGGGCGCGGGTTAAAGTTTCTGGCAGCGGCAAGTATGAGTAATTTCGCTTCCCATGTGTGTTTCAGAGAAGGAACTCGAACACCTTCTACTCGAGATGCGTGAGGAGCAGGTCGTTTTTGGCCCTGCGACAACGAACGGACCGTCCACCATCGCAGATGGCGCACTTTGGGTCGAAAGGTAGAAGATCGCCAAATTCCGAACAATGGCGAACATGCAGGACGAGCTGTACATCACGAACATCGCTATCTTTTTCGAGCGCGCTCGAAGGCGCTGGACTCGAACGCCTAGCCCCGGTTCATATCTGCAGAGGACTCGCCGTTTCATGTACTTGTTGCACGGATCAACGTCCAATAAACGTTAAAATATTCTGACATTATACTGGTGTTTATTCTTCGTAAAGAGCGTGAGCGCGACCGGTGCAGAGGAAAGGGGGGGAGGAAAGGGGAAGGGGATCTGGAATCAACAACACCCGAAATCGGATCGATATATACACTCGGAAGGCGTGCTCTGCTCTAGGTGTAACACTAGAGTAAAAGGTCAATCACGAGTGTACCCGCCTTTTCATCCGCCTGGAGAGTGTAAACGTGCAAAGTCAACGCCCCGGGCGAGTGTCTTGTTACACTTTATTTGAGTGTAAATATTACACCTTAGACGAGGGTAAAAAACGCAGAATTTCAGCTACACCCTCCTGAGGTGTTTACACCCGAGGAAGGTGAAAAAAGTTTTCAGTGCTGATAGAGTTCGCGCACACGTCTACTTAAACTAAAGGCGGGAACCGGCTAACGAATACCTCCGAAAAAATCACAGCCCTTTACTCACTCGACATTTTCAGGAGCTCGGAGTGGAAGCAGTTGACAGTCACAATGGGCAGTGACGGCACCTGACAGCCGGACGGCGACAGCCCGCACAGGAACTGGACTTGCACTCCTAAACCCTAGATACGACTGTTGAACAGGGATCTCGTCTGACTTCAGCCGGACTCCGAAACCATTTCAAGAACACTTTTCAATCACCTGCTTTCAAAACTGTATTGATATTGAGCTACTTCTTTGCAGATTAAGCTTGCAAGTCCGAATCTTAACATCCGTAAATATGTATCAAAACATGCTCGGAACTCGGATGATTGTTAATCCCTGTTACTTCAAAATTTTACGTAAATCCTTCCTCTAATAAAGTTAGCATCCTCATAGGAAACACATCATCCAGACCACCACCTAGCACGTTTTCATCAGCCGTGGAAAGCTCGGGAGCTTCCCAGCCCAAAGACATCCCTTGGCAGCCGTGGGAGTCTCGTAGGCTTCCCAGCCCGGGGGCACCCCCGCGCTCTGCCCGCCGGCGACGCATCTCGTTCCTGCGTGCTGATTGGTCGGACGGCCGGCCGTCTCCGAGGGAGGGGGAGGGAAGGGGGGAGGCCGGCGGCCGTCTCATGTGAACGTAGCGGCTCCGGTGGCTCGGTAGTCGGTGCGTCTGCGTTCTCGGTCAGTTGCGTTCTGTGTGTGCGGGGAGAGGAACGTGATCTAGCGGTGGTGTGCTTATTGCGTACTTATCAGCGCAATGATTGTGGCAGCGGTAGTGTTGGGTGCTAAAACATGGGAGGCAGTTCAGGTCAAAGCACGGTCGAATTGAGAGGGGTGGCGCCGTTTTCTTCTTTGGTGAGTACAGCCACCCACTTTTATACATTTCTTTTTCTGTACGCTTGTCATAAAGCACAGCACAGCTTTATATCTTGTCCTTATCAATGCAGCGAGTTGCCGTAGGGTTTTGGTAGGATTACCGCGGAATGCACCTATGCTGGAAATTAAAGATAATTATCGTTGCCAAAACTTAACATGTTTTTGGTTATTGACGGCCACGGCGCCAATGCGGTGGACGGGGTAGGTGGGGGATGGGGAGGGTGCACCCCCAGTCACATTTCTCATCTGTCCCGGTTCAGACATTAGTTGATTCCTATAATATAGACATCATTCTATAGATAAACTCGTTTTTAGTAAAAATACTGTGTCATGCAGTTAATCTGACCAGTAATTTCCACCTAAAACTAACTAACCGTAATCTCACCACGATTTTTGGAGGCGTTTGCGGTTGGCGGCGGTCGTGCTTGCGATGCGGGCAGTTTTCATTTTTTTGCGGCATTTGCGGTGTTGTTTGCGGTTTGCGGCGGTCGTGCGCTTGAGTTTTTTAATTTTTTTGCGATGTTTGCCTTGGTGTTTCGGGCGTCCATTTTGCGCGTTTTTTTTTGCGGTGTTTGCGTTTGTCGGCGGGCGGCCGTTTTTCATAAATAATTCAAATTTCCAACAATCGGATCTACAGCGCTCCTCGAAAAGCCGTACATGCGTACCATACAGTTTAATGAAGTAACAGCCGAATTCACCCCTACTTATATATAAGCCCTCATCAACAATATCTATCGAAACGTACAGTTATCGCGCAATCATGGCCATCTAGTTTCTTTGAAAGTTGACACACTGACTTTGACGGTGCTTGAAGCACTGAAACGTGTAGGTACTCAGTGCTGTCTCATTTGAGCGTTTCCCTCCTTGAAAATCTTTGGTTTAAGTGAAACAACAGATGTTTAGCCAGTTAAATTTTGGCTTATATGATCTAATAGTGGGCTTTTGATTGTCAGAATATTACAGGTCTCCAGGGCCAAGATTGAGAATAGCGAAGCAAAGAATGTGTAACGCGAGTAGGTACCTACCCAATTTGGAAATACAGCCACACTGCATGCATTGCAGTGCATGGTGACGAGGAAAGCTGAGATCAACGATATTACGTTGCTAAACCTCGTTTGTCTGTTTTGTTAGGTTAGGCTCTTTTGGTCTTATGAGACCATTGCGGAGCCGGCCGCCGGGAGGATAATAGGAATTAGGGTCTTTTGTGGGGATAACAGGAGCACTGGTCTGGGCGGCCACCCAGCCCCTTAACACCGCACCCGGCTACGGGCGTGACATCCAAGGGGAGCTTCCCGAATTCCGCATGGGAAAAAATGCCCGTCCATCCCGGAGCAAGAGATTGAGGCGTAGAGGCGATGGATTTGACTATCCTGAGGATAGAAACGACGGAACGAATGACCAAACTTCGAAAGGAAGTCTAAACACTCATGCAATGCCACCTGTTCCGTCGTTTCCATCCTCAGGACATTCACAGCCTTTCTCCACGCCTCAACCCCTGTACCGGGCTGGCTATGCAACTTTATTGCATGCGGGCGGCTCCCATTGGAGCGCACCGCAGCTCCAAGGGAGCACACCCGTAGCCGGGTGCAATGGGTAGGTGCATACATTGGGGGCAGCGGCTGGTCGGCCTGTCTAATTTGATGGGCTCAGGCCTCAGCCGGAGCCCCGGCGACTCTCTAGGGTGCTTGCCCAGACCAATGTCTCCCCCTAATTCCCATTATCCTCCCGGCTCTGCAATGGTCTTAATGGACCGAAAAGGCCTAACCCAAGCCCACCAAAACAAACAAAACAAACTCGTGCAATATGATTCTCTGGATAGGTGGCGAGTTTCACAAACCACCACTAGGCGGCAGTGGTGTTGCTCGCTAATCCGCTGCCAATCGATACCCCACCCAAGATACCTATAAGAAACAGGTAGGTCCGATGTTTTGAGTAAAGCCCAAGTAAAGCCCTGGTGACGTCACTGACATTTCTTATATGGAGAATTTCGCCCATAAGGAAAATATTTTACATACGAAAATTTGTATTTCATTAGGAAAAAATACATTCTATCAATTTCATCATGAAACTTATATAATTTAATTAAAAAACTTGAAATCCTTTGAGTGCTTGTCCCAACCCCTGCTATACCTTTGGTCACGTGACTACCATGATAAACTTTGCGTTTTGCAATGTTATGACTTAAACAGAAGCAATAAATGTTACAAGCGTATTATTTATGATGTTTTAGGCAGCAATCGTGTAATAACATCCTTGAATTATATACATTCTGCTTAAAAGAGGTCACGTGATGCTACCAGATTGTGCTCGGACAGCATTTTCTTAAACTTCGATTTTGAGTACTTTTTACCTTCATTGAGTCCTAATAACGGACGTTTTTAGTTATAAAATGAAGCAATGAATCTATTGAGGGCAAAATTTAATCATTTTTGCACTTTCAAGCCGGGCTATCCTGACATGAACTTCGGCCGGTTTGTGTGTGAAGCCTATGGTGAAGGGAAAACTTCACGCCCGGCTGACGTCACAGACCTCGGCTACCAAATCGTGTCCGGTGGGGGTCGACCCCACCAACGTCCTATAGATGGCGGTGGTGTAGCCCGCTAGAGCTCGCTGCTAGTAGATACGAGTATACTATCTAAAGGAGTCATACTTGTGGTGACTGTTGACTTAAGTAGCTTGAAATAAGTCGATAATTGCAATAATTAAGGTAAAGTTAGCGAGCTAACTGGACCTATATGTGGTGTTAGGACTTATGATCTTGGATCCTGGATTTCTCAGGCTGTTGGCCTTGGACTTACACTGAAGCTTAGCTTCCGTTACGCCTCATAGAGGGCGTGTTGTAGGGTACAAAGTCTATGATCTCTTATTCTACGGAAATTTGCTAAGTGACTTATCACAAATATATAATGCACATGGCCATTAGAAGGCAGGATATTTGAAAAATATACCAATGCAGCTTGCGCTGATAGTATCCTGTATGAGCTTCAGGCTTCCCAATGCTTGTCTACTTGGAAAAAGGTACTCATCAGTGACAATGGGATATATACGGAAAACTCGGCGGCGAAACTCATACTTACCTGGCTCAGGTGATACCGTGATCATGAAGGCGGTTCCCCCAGGGCGAGGCCCTTCCATTGCACTTCGGTTGGGTTGACCCCTGCGATTATCCCAAATGTGGATAACTCGGGAGTATAATTTTTGTTAGCGGGGTAGGTTGCGTTCGCGCTCCAACCCTTTTTAAGAATTCAAAAGTGAGGTGTGAAAGTGGGTTAAAAGTTAACACTTGAGTAGACAAGCGGTTACTTGAAGAGGGAATCGTTCGTTCACGAAGCTTAGAGACAGGTCAGACATCGGCATATTCAGATGGGTTCGTGCAGGGGCGTCGCCGACGGGGGGGGGGGGGTCGACCCCCCACTTTTGGCGATGCTGAGTATGCTTTTTTAGCTATCATGTCAGGGAAGTTGGCGTCAGCAACATCAACAAATACAACGTCAGATTCAGAATCGCTTCAAGAGCTCCCTAGTCCCTATTGCTTATAGGTCAATAAGCTGTGGGCTAGAACATCAGCATGGCAATATGATTCTAGTCCCCTTTTATCCCTCAAATGAGCGAGCGCGTCAAAACTGACCCAAGCGTTCGTCTGATTGTCAAAATAATGGTTGCAGTCGATTCGTCGGATGACGTATCAGTAACTACGA